AAGATCTGCTCGATTTTTGGCACCAATTTGTAGACTTAATCAATAATAACAACTTCTGTATCAGATTTGTAGCCTTTTTGTTGACAACAGGTGATAGCAGACACTTGCATGATCTGCTTTTGACAGACTTGGCTATCTGGGTATATATACAAGGTGTCTCATTTTAAAACCTCCACTAAAATATTTCAAAAGCACCGCGTTAAATTGACAAATGTTTCGAATAAAAGTTTTATGACTTTGAGAAGGACATAAGATGGTACCATTGATTTGACCTTGGATTGCATTGTCAAGGTCAGGTCAAGGTAACATCGATTTTTTTTAATGGAACTCCCTATTTTTTAGTGAATATATATATATACACAGAGTGTCCCACTTTAAAAGTACCTACCCTGATAGAAAAACATGTATAAAATTATGCGACAAAATCTTGCACTAAAATTGTAATTTGCAATTATACAAATATATTTTAGGAAATAGATGTAAAAACATTGATTTTTTATAAAATATTTGTAGTTGTTTGCAAAATTACTTTCCAAATACTATTTTAGCAAAAGAATAACGATATGGCGAATCATCTTAGCAGTATATTTGCAAAATTAATTTTAAAAAGAAATTGTCCAATAATTGAGAAAAAATTTTCAGCTATGTGATGTTTAAAATATGTAGAAATATAATTGCATATGAAGAAATCAACGTAATTCATGTATATACTTATGAAAATGCATAATGACTCTTTTTCAATTTTTGACAAATATTATTTACAAAATTTTATTTTGACAAAACTGTTGCGTTATGGCGAATCATCTTAGTGCAATCATTGCAAAATCGTCGTCATTCATGATGCCATTTTTGTGCAATATTTTCATAATTTGCCCAATAAGCTATATAATATTGCACAAAAATCATGAATGACGACGATTTTGCAATGATTGTACTAAGATGATTCGCCATAACGCAATAGTTTTGTCAAAATAAAATTTTGTTGGGATATACATATATATACATATATATATATATATATACACTTTCTGATTTGAATATTAACATTTATTATATTGACTACTATAAAATTCTAGTAATTATATAATAGAAGCTAGCATATTAAAACAAAATGATACATATATAGTACTTAGTGCGTCTCACAATATTATATATTGTATTATATTATGTATATTATAAAATTTATATAGACATAACCCGGTAAAAAATTTTTTATTTATACTTACACAAATTAAAATAATTATGTCTAATTATGCAAATTTATATGCCAAATATGTCCATACAATTTTATACACGGAAAATTTCTTTTTTTAAGAGAATGGCTTCAGAGATATTCCATATCAAATTACAAACTAACTCTATTAGTATCATGTTAGATACAAAAAAATTATATAAAACTATATTTTTAAAAAATTTTTGATATATCATCATATATACTTATACACAAATTAAAATAATTATGTCTAATTATGTAAATTTATATGCCGAATATGTCCATACAAATTTATACATGGAAAATTTTTTACCGGGAAATAGGTAAATTTATATTTGAGCAAGATTTTTTTCTTTATATCGACCGTAAAGATAGTAGTTTATTTGCAACATTATATTGTTGTTACACACGTCACATCTAGAATTTCAAATGACTCAGATAATTAAAACATTGTCTACTTACTGTGTGTAGTGATTATATCCGAACATATACTGATTGTATCATATTCAACGGAAAAGCGAAAGATGCGATTACAAATGACACATCGCACACGTCTGTAAGCGAATATGCGTATTACAGTATTTGCTTATGGCTCTTAAGAAGTCAGAATAACATTTAATTTCAGCTTGTTGACGAACCTTGATTCTTTTAAGACACGCTAAAACCCCCCACAGAGGGTTCCTCGTGAGACGTCGGGGGTATAATGATCGTTGCGTACTTGTCAATTAATTCTTTCAGAAATCAAATTTTTCTTCCGCCTACTTATCTACGTGACACGTGTGAATTACAATTGGTATAACGACGGTGTAATGACTGTTTGCATAGTGGTATTTTATGTAAGAAGAAGAGTCCCCGTCAAGGGCAAACGCGAATTATAAAAGTGTTACCGAGCTAAATCGATATTCAGTTTTTTTTTGCACTGTGCGAATTTCTGACAAAAAACATGGACAGATCAGGTCTTTATTTGTTGGTCTTTATGGCTGTAATAGCGGCCACTGTTGCCGAGGAGATGTACTCGGATATATTTGATCATATCAATCCCGATGACATTCTGCCGAACGACGAGCTGCGAAATCAGTACTACAATTGCTTCATGGATACCGGGCCGTGTGTAACCGAAGAGCAGAAATTCTTCAAGCGTATGACACTTTATATTGTTGTTTTTTTTTTTTTTATTATTATTATATTTATTTTATTATTCTATGACTTGATGAATACTAATCTTGTTTTTTTCTTGTGTTAAAAATAGAAATGTTTTTTTGGTCGCGGTGTTATCATTTATTTTTAACCTTTTGTGCTCCGGGCATATCTTTGTAATGCGCAAAGTACGCATATCGCAGCGTCAGAGTACAAAAAGTTAAAGTAGATAAATCGCCGTGAATATTCAACTATTATGTAAACTGTATGTTGTTCTGTACAGAGCATGCCGCTGAAGCTTTTGCAACGAAATGTAAAAAATGCACGGAGACGCAAAAGAAGAACATGGAGAAGATAATCGTGTGGTATACAGAGAATCGTCCCGACGAATGGAACGTTCTAATGGGAAAGCTTCTAGAGGAAGCGAAAAAGCTAAATCTCTAACATCATCAATATTCACATTGTTGTATATGTAATTGTGAAATGACAAATAACTTTGCACACGTACAATATATGCCACCGACGTTTACATAGTCTGCATTGCGATACACGAGCACGTAGAGACAAAAAAGAGCAAGATTTAGTGTTGATGTATATCATTTTAACTGATAATAAAAGTCATACGAAATAGACTCGAGTACGTGTATACTTCTCTCATCGAATACATCGGTAATAATCCACGTTGTAAATCAATAATATTTAACGCGTGTCGCCAAATATTTACGTAACTTTTCGCGAAGTCGAAGAAAAAGAGCGGGAATATCATCTCTCTTTCCGTCATGCGTCGTTGTCCTCGTCGTCACGCATGCGTTGGGAAGTACATACATTACATTATAGCTTGCACAGTCGCAAGACACAGGAGAGGGAAGCTACTTGACCTCTATCTATCAGCAACATCATTTCAACTAGTTGGTAAGACAATATCCCAAACAGAAGGCGATCTTTTGATAAGTCTTCTAACGATATTATTATTGTGACTGAAAGTGCTCTCTCTCTCTCTCTCTCTCTCTTTCTCTCTCTCTCTTTCTCTCTTTCTCTTTCTCCGGCAGAAGAGAAAGAACAAGCCGCGCAAATCCCACGTCGAGCATCAACGAGAATGATCAATAAAGGTGGAAAGTGGTGGCTGCAGCGTGTCACGGTAAAAACACCCTGACATATACGTCATTCCATGTTCGGCGAAATAATCTCCCGAAACCGATGCGAATTGCTAAAAGATTATTATCGTTTTTCAAGTTGATAACTGCGATCGGTAAATAATTTGTTAAACGAACGTTACATGTTTCTTTGTAACGATTATTCATAATTATATATATTGATTGGCAACGGAACTAATGACAGAATATGCAAGAATTCTATTGCGCGCATTGATAAGACACAATCGAGTTTCTTTCACAGAAAAGAGTTTTGACGTCAGACGTTTTAACGCAAAGATCTCTCTCGATTGTTGATTGACACAAAGACGAGGCTTATTCGAAATAAAGGAAACTAAAACGCTGTCAAATTTTTCAGCAAAATTTAACTGATTTTGTTGTTTTCGTCGAGATTGCTACAAAACAACGCAATACAAAAGAAGTGTATGTAAATATCATCAGCGCAATGTAATGTGTGATAAAGAGAACAAGATAAGAACTAATGACTTCGCTCTAGATAAAAGCAGATCAAGTGTGTCTTACACAAATTTCGCTTGTGAGAGAGAAACCACCGCGTTACATATCTCTACATATCTGTGTTACGTTACCATCGTGTTACATATCCATGTTGAGTCACGATGACTGGAGAGAATATTCACAAGAATAGAGATTTGTGCAAAGATAAACAAGGAAACAAATTCACGAGCTGAAGAACAGGTATTTTTTTCTATTATTTTCTATAAAGTATGCAAAATCTTGATATAATAAAAAAACGTTCCGCTTTCTAACGCTAAGAGATTATTAATTTGCAGTCTAAAAATAGAAGCTTTGCTTAACGTCTCATATTTGCTTTGCTCAACATCTTATTAAATTGCATAAACTCGATGTTTTTGTATGCTTCATAATTACGCACGTGTGCTCTTTTGTAAATTGAGGAAACTTACGATTAACGCCTGAGGAAAAAAATTCTTATGTTTTGTGCTCGTGTTATATTTCAGTAAGAAGGAAGAGAGGAGGCAATAACGAGCTGATACACCTGATGTTTGGGTAAAATTTTTCTTTATTCAAAAATTTGACAAACGTCAAAAAAATTCTTCATGTGGCAAATTTTTTATATCTAGTTATATATATGTATATATACATATATATTTATATGTAATATACATATTACATGTGATTACATACATATAACTAAATATAAAAAATTTGCCACATGAAGAATTTTTTTTACGTTTGTCGAATTTTTGAATAAAGAAGAATTTATATACATATATATATATATATATGTATATATTTTATATATAATCTCATATATGAAATTGAGACAATCCTATACGTAATTTATAATCATCATAACCATATAGAATTTGTATGAAGGACATTTTTTTTAAGACTTTAGTAATGGTAACCGTGTTTCACCTATTACATACGAAAAAATGCATAACAAAAAAAAGTATAAAGATTAAGAATAAAGAATAAGAATATAAAGGGATATAAAAATTTGTTATTATTAGAAAGTCATCTTTTTAAAAAACCGAAAGATTCTATATTTATTTTCCTTATAAAACTATCGAATCCTTTTAATTTACCGTCTTGATATAAACTGTGTTTTTATGTTTTTAGGTTTAATGATATATACGTCTATGTAAGTAAGGGACAAAACAAATTTACACAGGTTGCATTATTACATGCTGAATTAAAGATTTAGCGAATGACTTACTCTTTAAAGAAAAATACCGATTGTTGTTTTCTAAGTTAAAGTCATAAAAAAGTGATATGAATAATTATATTTTAAACAAAAGTTATGGTTTTTTACATACTCTATGCCTGTATTTGAAATTTTCAAATATTTCAAATTTGTTCCGAAACTTTCATCCTTTCCAACTTTGAAATTTTTAAAGTTTTTATAAATCATTTTATGACACTATCAATGATGCAACATTATGACATGCGTTTCCCAAAAATCGTGATTTTATTAAAAATGTTCTATAAATACATTCTCTCCATGATGCTCCCTAATTAGGGAAGTGTCACAAGTGTCTAACGTCGATTTAATTCTTGAAATATGTTGTCCCGTTCTTGTAACATGGGAATTTAAAAACAGTTTACCCTCTATGTAGAGAGTGCACATATATAAAACATATTATATGTGCATATTATTTTATATATGTGCGCGCGCATACACACACACGCATATATATTTTATATATACAATATAAATATAAAATTAAATATAAAATTAATATAAAAATATATTAATATCAATATAAAATTAAATTAAAAAACTTTGACCGTCCAGTCTTTGGATTGCGGTTCGAGGCAGTTAAATAAATACAGCAATTAATTGGTATGTGGAACGTTTTGATCCTCCTTTATTTTGATCATCATCAGCCACACTAAATACAATAAGAAAATTACAGAATTTTTTGTGTTGAACGTTATAAAAACCAAGCAATAAATAAGTCACATACCTTAAAGATAAATAATCTAAATACGTTACTGAGCGCCGACAACATGAGAGAATTCAAGACGAGAAAGCAATAGACAAAATTGTTGACAAGTCAATTCGTCCTTGCATCATATCTTCAAGAGAAAAATTAATATGTTTTTTGAAATAACAATCAAAAGAAACCGTATATAATAAATTAAACAAACAAAGGTGAAAAAAGAAACCTTTAAGCCGAAATTGTTAAAAAACTATTAGTCAATATGATAAAATTGTCATGAAACTATTAGTCAAAAAATAAAATAAAAATTATAAAATTAGTAAAATATGAGACAAGTCAACAAAATTAATAATACTCACTGTAAAATTAGTAAATCATACAAAGTCGTTGAAAACTCCCACACAATCGTCATACAGCAACGCTCAACGGCACAAACATCTCGCACGATTTACAGAATGCGTAACATAAATGCGAGAAAACAAAATGATAAGGTCGGAAGAGAGAAAGATAAGTCCGAGAAGGACGAGAGAGCGCAAACGCAAAATCAACCACTCAATTTCAAAATTAAAGGAGAGTAGATAGGATCGAGCAGGTCCGTATTCTTCATTAAATTTATGCCATTTTTCTGCATCTTAATATGCAGCATCTCAGATATAAGTCTCCTATGATAAAATTGTTCTTTGTCAAGTATCTGAGTTTCATTCCAGGCAAATTCGTGTCCCAGATCACTTCGATGTCTGCTAACTATTATAACTGACGTTCGTAGTTCTGACGATAATAACGTTGATGCTCAGTGAATCTTGCACTCGTTGACCGACGTAAGAGGCATCACAAGATGAGCAGTTGATCTTGTAGACGATGTTACTATTCATGTTACGGTCAAGTATGTCTTTATGTACTCTAATGTAATTTTTTTAAAGTGTTAAGGTCTCTGTAAGAAATACGGAAATTCGTTGTTTAGAAATTAAGGATGCGCATTTTTTTTGTCATTACTTTGCCGCAGACTTTTAGACTGCTGACTGTAATTGATTATCTTTCTGCGAATTTGCCAACCTTTTGTTAGAACAAGTTTTTTGACACTCAGAGACTTTTATTTTGCAAAGTAAAACTTCGCGAATATATTAAAATGGATAAAAACATTTTCTGGTTAACCAAAAAATTGTCTACAGTTGATAGCCGTAATTCTGCAAGACGTTTCTTTTTTTGTGACTCGTTCTGCTAATAATGACATCACTAATAACAACCGCTCTCAATATTGTTTCTCTTTCAATGAGCCTCAACTTGTTGACAAGTCGCGTATAAACATCACTATTGAACCTACCTACTTGAACAATCTTGATATGAGCAAGCAAAAAGAAAAATGGCTTGTTAATCTTACTTCTTTTGACATTCCCGACACTGTCCGTGATCTTCTCCCATTAAGCAAAAAGTTTGCCTTACCTTCACAGTGTCAAAAGAATCGGATGGCTCTAGAGATTATAAAAGATGTCGAAAACAACATTAAACAATCTGATCAGACGTTTAAATTTCGAATTCGTTTACTTGTTTCTTCATCACTCGAACATTTCATAAATGAACATCCTCATTTAAATAATTTCGAAAGAAATATTATTGAGAGTGCGAGGTTTACTAACAATTTTATCAAAGATTTTATCAAAGATAGACCATCCGAACAATTTGTTCACCAAAGCTGACAAGGAATGTCACTGGCTGTTAATAAAGACGATTATATTAAAAAAATGAAGCTTATGTTGAGTGACACAGATATTTATATTAAGACTGATTAAGAACCCGGCAAAAAGAATTGAAAATAATTTGAATGAGTGTCTGAAGGCTTGGAAGAATGCGAATTATATTAGCGCCAACTGATATTATTCATTAATTTGTAATGACAAACCTCTTCCCAGGGCATACGGACTTCCGAAAATACATAAGTCAAATGTTCCTTATAGAATTATAGTATCTTGCACAGTCACTACTCTGTTTAATTTTGCCTCTTTCCTACATGGCATTTTATACAAGAATTTACCAAAATCAGCTTTATACTCAATAGCTTTGATCTTTTCGGAGATCTGTCAGGTTTGCGTATTTGCGGATCTGAGGTATTGTTTTCGATGTTGCCTCACTTTTTACTAACATACCACTTGATATAGCGTTGGAGAGGGTGAGAAGGAGATGGGATCCCTTACGAAAAAGAACTACTGGCAATAATATATTGCGGCAGTGGTACGAAAACATTACTGGCATTCTGTGTAATTGCCAGTAATATTCTCAGTGATTCCTGTAATACCTAATAATATTCTTATGTAATTGTCAGTAATATTTATATTACTGACTTTATTTATATGTAATCGGCAGTAGTTCTTTTTCGTAAGGGATTATATAAAGACCACACAAATATTCTATTGGAATCTTTTATAGAGGATCTTGAATTCGTGCTTTCCTCGACCTATTTTACATTTAATGACACTATTTACCAACAGATCTTTGGCGCTTCTATGGGTTCTCCACTCTCTCCAATCATGGCAGATCTTGTTTTACAAGATCTTGAAGAGAGCTGTCTCAATGCTTTAAATTTAAAATCTCCCTTTTATTACCGCTATGTGGACGATATTCTCATGGCCGCTCCTAAAGAAAAGGTTGATCTCATTTTCCACAAATTCAATTCTTATCACTCTAGACTTAAGTTTACTATTAAGTTTGAGGAGAATAGATCAATTAATTTTCTTGACACTTCCGTGGACAATGTACTAATACTCGATTGGTATCATAAACCTACAAACTCGGGTCGTTACCTCAATTTTAATTCTCAACATCCTTTTAAGCAAAAACTTGGAGGTATGTTTGATATTATTGACAGGTCTATTTTACTTCCACATCCTAATTTCCACAGAAATAATAATCTAATCAAGGCTATGCAGTTACTGTTGACTAATAATTATCCCTTGGATCTGATTTTCGAAATGGTTCAAAATAGACTACACTTTTTATTTAATAACAAATTACATGTGGTGAATGGTGAGCCAACATCGAGTGTGATTTGTTCGAGTGGTGAGGAAAGGTTTTTTACTGTGCCTTTTTTACCGGATGTTACCGACAGTGTGTCTAAAACTTTAAATATAATAAATTTCCGTATTTCTTACAGAAACCTTAACACTTTAAAAAATTACATTAGAGTACATAAAGACATACTTGACCGTAACATGAATAGTAACATCGTCTACAAGATCAACTGCTCATCTTGTGATGCCTCTTACGTCGGTCAACGAGTGCAAGATTCACTGAGCATCAACGTTATTATCGTCAGAACTACGAACGTCAGTTATAATAGTTAGCAGACATCGAAGTGATCTGGGACACGAATTTGCCTGGAATGAAACTCAGATACTTGACAAAGAACAATTTTATCATAGGAGACTTATATCTGAGATGCTGCATATTAAGATGCAGAAAAATGGCATAAATTTAATGAAGAATACGGACCTGCTCGATCCTATCTACTCTCCTTTAATTTTGAAATTGAGTGGTTGATTTTGCGTTTGCGCTCTCTCCTCATTCTCGGGCTTATCTTTCTCTCTTCCGACCTTATCATCTTGTTTTCTCGCATTTATGTTACGCATTCTGTAAATCGTGCGAGATGTTTGTGCCGTTGAGCGTTGCTGTATGACGATTGTGTGGGAGTTTTCAACGACTTTGTATGATTTACTAATTTTACAGTGAGTATTATTAATTTTGTTGACTTGTCTCATATTTTACTAATTTTATAATTTTTATTTTATTTTTTGACTAATAGTTTCATGACAATTTTATCATATTGACTAATAGTTTTTTAACAATTTCGGCTTAAAGGTTTCTTTTTTCACCTTTGTTTGTTTAATTTATTATATACGGTTTCTTTTGATTGTTATTTCAAAAAACATATTAATTTTTCTCTTGAAGATATGATGCAAGGACGAATTGACTTGTCAACAATTTTGTCTATTGCTTTCTCGTCTTGAATTCTCTCATGTTGTCGGCGCTCAGTAACGTATTTAGATTATTTATCTTTAAGGTATGTGACTTATTTATTGCTTGGTTTTTATAACGTTCAACACAAAAAATTCTGTAATTTTCTTATTGTATTTAGTGTGGCTGATGATGATCAAAATAAAGGAGGATCGAAACGTTCCACATACTAATTAATTGCTGTATTTATTTAACTGCCTCGAACCGTAATCCAAAGACTGGACGGTCGAAGTTTTTAATTTTAATTTTATATTATATTTCGGCCGTTTTCTCTCTGTCTCTCTGTCTCTCTCTCTCTTTCTCTCTTTCTCTCTCTCTCTCTCTCTCTCTCTCTCTCTCTCTTTCTCTCAAAATACAATATATAAACATTGCGTAATTTTCTTTAAAAACATGTTACGCAAATCTAATCATCTTAAAAAATATACAAGTTTTGAAATTTTAAACAAACAAAACAATGAATACAATGAATAAGACTTAATTCATAATTCCTTTTAATTTATAATTACTAATATGTATAAAGTTTGTATAAAATATTTACTAAATTGATATATATTTGACAGATTTGTAAGATATTGATAAAATATAGAATAATTAGTATAAAATACTCGTATTGAAAAATTGAGTTTGAAATTTTCACGAACATTTAGATATTTAATTTGATAGATCCTCTTCTCGCAAAAATTGTATGTGATAAAAAACTTTTGTATATGTGCATCGAGAATTTGATCAAGAGGAACTATAAAATACGCTATATACGGTACATAAAACATACACGTTGTTTCTTCCAACAGTATAAAGTGGTGAACAAATTCAGAAGGATGAAAACGAGATTGTTGTTGTGCGGCCTCGCCTTTGCCATTGTGCTTCTGATTTTTATGATCTCGACCGAGAACAACATCATTCAGAGGATACCCTTCCTCGAAATAACGGCGATCAACGATATCAGATGCTACGACGAAGTCTCGACTGCAGAGAGCATCCGTGAATTCGATTCGGAATCAAGTACAGTGTTATCTTTTTAAGTTATTAAGATTGTAAGGAAGTGGAGCAAGTTTTTTAATGAACACACGCAATTTTGAAACATGGTTTTATTATAAATTATAACAAAAACTCGAAGCTAATTAGTTATTCATGATTTGCGTTTGCACTAGCAATCGTTCAAGTTAATTACCAATGTATCGGCGTTAAATACAAAATAGAGATGTTTTTGTCTACACGCGCAGTTGTACACGTTTTTAGGTTTTTAAATCTTTTTTATACTAGAAGTAATTAAATAACGCAATATAAAGAGTTTTTTTTCGACACAATTCTTTTTTGTATCGAGGAAAAACGAAAAGAACACCTTTCCTGTTACTCAAAGACAATGTATAATTGCATTTGCGGATATTATATATACATGATACTGTCCAAACAAAAGTTATGATTACTGTCCAATTCCAGATCGTATCAACAGTTATTTAGCACATCTATTTCTGTGGAATTACACGTTATGCAATGTGTATTTATTTAACTTGCTCATCTTCGTATACATTTGCAATCTTCAACATTTTTATTTTTTTTCGTATTTTATTTTTTTACGTATGATATCTTAAAATATTTGTCATATAAATAGTGAAAAAATTTCAAGTCTAATTTCGGATTTTGAGATTAGAAATAATATATATATTGAAGAAAGTTCAAATCATATCTCTCAACCAGCCATTACGATTTTCATGGATGAAACTAAATGAATTAAACATAAATACTATTTTCTTTTTTACGTACAGAAAGTCTTATCGCAAAAACACCAAATATCATATCAATCTATTAGACAAAATATTTTTGCACATCCTATATCGATAAAGCCAAATAAGTGTGTAATTTTTCTCGTACGCATATTTATTGACAATTCATTGACTTAAAATGGCAATGTTTAAATAATTAATTTTGTTTTTATCAGAAAGATTAAACCTCCCGCAGTGAATTAATACACGTATCTATATCTTTGCACAACATATGCAAACAGGTGACAAACCGACGCCAGGTAGGAACATCTTCTTCCACGAAACTTCCTGCTTTGGCGAGGAAGGTCTCGTACTGAACGCTCGGCAAGCTTGCGCTGTAGAGTCGGCGGCGCGAATGAATCCGACGATGACCGTATATCTATTGTTTGTCAGCAAGTCGGACTTTTCGAACAGCACTCGCGAAATTGTTCGCCACGTGCTCGACTATCGCAACGTGAAGATCCGCCACATCTATCCGGAAAGATACGTGAGGAACACGCCGTTGGAGTCGTGGTACACCAGCGGCATGCTGAAGAAAAGCCACTGGCCGGTCAGCCACATGTCTGATATGCTGCGTTACCTCACCCTATGGAAGTACGGCGGTATCTACCTTGATCTTGATGTGGTGGTCACCAGCTCGTTGGAAAATTTGACCAACTTTGCCGGCGCCGAGGATTGGGATGACGTCGCCGCCGGTGTCATGGGTTTCGACATGTCGGAGCTGGGTCGTCGCATGGCCGGCGCTTGCGTGCGTGATCTTAAGAAGAACTTCCGCGGCGATGTCTGGGGCAACAACGGACCTGGAGTGATTACGAGGGCATTACAGAAGCTCTGTGCGACGACGTATGTGAGTATTGGAAGAAAAATTAAGAATAATATAAAAAGTAAAGAGTAAAGCAATGTTGTTATTTATATAAATTCGTCATTGTTCTTTTTTTTAGATTATTTATATTATCGACCGTTAAATTTCGCGTTGTTAGTTTTAACTTAAAAAGCCTAAACTCTTTAGTAATTAAATAAAAAGATAGAGAAGAGGCAAATTTTTATTAATTGTTAATTCACGCCGGTTGAAGATTGTATTATTTTCAAAGCTTCTTGATATACGAATATATTGCGAGACAAACGCCAAGTGCCTCGGTGGTCAAAGGAAAGCGATGGAATGAAAAGTTGGAAATTCTAGGCTCGACTCTTGGCTGAGGTGTTTTTTTCGCAATATTTTAAAATTAGATAGGAGGTAAACGCGGATTTCTCATATACGTGATGCAAGTATAGCATCCTATATAAATTTATGAATTGAAATTTCAATTCAAACTTACATGTAAAATTTATACAAAAAGCATATATATACAGGGTCATCGAAAAGTATCGGACCCCCCTAATATCTTCAGTTAGAATGCATTTTGGAGAAAATGTCCAGTAGCAAAGTTGTATGGTTTCAAGCGAGGAGTAAGATGATGACCTTGACTTTGATCTTGACCATGTCCTTTAAGGTCATTTCAAGGTCAATCTTATTTTTTTCAATGGAACTCCCTACATTTTATTGCATATTTTTATAGCTTATCTCGAGAGCTTTCCAAAACACTAATAAAACATTTTTTTATTAAGTACTTTTTGAGTTATAAAGATTTGAAATTAACAATTTGTTAAGTGGCGTGTGATTCCGGCCAGTTAAGGCAAGAGTGGCGTGTGGGTCTGGCCAGTTAAGACAAGAGCGGCGTGTGGGTCCGGCCAGTTAAGACAAGAGTGGCGTGTGGGTCTGACCAGTTAAGGCGAATTTCATTCCAATTGGTCAGCTTGGGCAAAATATTCAATTGTATCAAACAATTCACAACAAATGTTCAAATTGTTGCCCTTCAACAGCCTGGCAATGTGCCAATCTGTTATAAACAGCTGAAACCGCATTCCGGTACGTTTCTGGCGGTATTAGTTCTATCTCTCGAGTTATTCTCCCTCTTAAATCATCTAAATCTTGAGCTTGGTGGCATAAACTTTACTTTTCAAGTAACCCCACAAAAAAAGTCAAGTAGGGTCAAGTCCGGAGACCTAGGTGGCCACTCAATATGACCCCTTTGCCCTACCCACCTGTCCTGAAAGACCTCATTCAAATATTGACGGACAATGACACCACAATGAGGTGGAGCTCCATCCTGTTGGAAATAAATTTTATCCATATTTCCACCAGCTATGTCTCGAATAGCTGGAACAATTTGTTTGCAAAGCGTGACTGTGTATACCTGTGCTGTCAAATTGCCTTCAATGAAGAAAGGGCCAACTAATCTATCATTACGAATACCAGCCCATACGTTAACTTTTTGTGAATATTGGGTATGATTGTCTTTTTTCCAGTGAGGATTAACGTCACTCCAGTACCTACAATTATGTCTATTTACATTTCCAGTCAGTTCAAATGTTGCCTCATCAGAGAAAACAATATTATTAAGTAATAGAGGATCGTCGACAATCATCTTCCATCATAAGATCACAAAATTCGATGCGTCTATCAAAATCGTCTTCGGACAACTCTTGGCACAAATGGAGTTTGTATGGATGCCATTTATTCAATTTCAAAATTTTATTGACAGATGCATGACCGATTTCGTGTTCTTGTGCAACGCGATTGATGGAAATATGGGGATTTTCAACGAAAGACTGTAAAACATCTAATGCCTTATCATTATTTGTTGCTGTTTTACGTCTACCAGATCTTGAGCGGCTTTTAACGCTACCAATGTCCTCGAAACGTTGAATAGTACGGATTATAGTACTTTTAGAGATCCTATTATTTTTATTCCGAAAATTTTCATTAAATAATCGCGTTACTGTTTTATACCCTCTTTGTTGATCTCCCCATCCTCGCATCATTAACAGTGTTATTCAATCTTTTTCAGAAAGCTCCGCCATTCTTAATTAGAGCAAAGAAGAATTAATCAGGTAAGTGATAGGAAATTGATCTAAATAATTAAGTAGAGAAAAATACTAATTATTAAGTGTTGGTCCAACTATTGATTTGTTTATTTCAACCAGTACTAGCAAAAAGCTCGTTGAGCAACTGAAAATCTAATAGATCACTTAATAATATTTACGAAAAATTTCTGGGCTATTGGAAACAAAATAAAGATGTTTGAGACAATCAATTGAAGCGCAATGGCTTCTTTTGTTACAGAAAAAATTTTTGGGGCTGTTTGTTTTCGTCCACGAGGTAACTGCTGCTCGCTAAGAAGAAGACAGCACTGCATCAAAGATTAAAATCAGTGATCCGTATTGTTTGCTCAAGAGCTCGTACATTGGTGCCTGCGAGAGTGAGAGAATAAAGATCGGCCCCGCCAACGCTTTCGGGCAGATTCCCGCTAACGCCTTCGAACATCACGCATTCGAGCAACTTCTCGCGATCACCTTCGGGCAGTTTTCCGCCTACTAGCATAACCGCTTGAAGCCGTACAACTTTGCTATTGGACATTTTTCCAAAATGCATTCTTACTGAAAATATTAGGGGGATCCGACACTTTTTGATTAATGTATTTTCTTTAAACCAATTAATTGGTCTCATTATTCCGCGCACAAAAGTATTAAGGTTATAATTACTGAAAACTAAATAATATTTTACAAGATATTTTACATTTTGTGTCAAAAAATTGTTACCTTCAAACCTTCATAACTCAAAAAGTACTTAATAAAAAAATGTTTTATTATTAGTGTTTTATTAGTGTTTTGGTAAGCTCTCGAGATAAGCTATAAAAATATGCAATAAAATGTAGGCGGTTTCATTAAAAAAAATAAGGTTGACCTTGAAATGACCTTAAAGGACATGGTCAAGATCAAAGTCAAGGTCATCATCTTACTCCTCGCTTGAAACCATACAACTTTGCTACTGGACATTTTCTCCAAAATGCATTCTAACTGAAGATATTAGGGGGGTCCGATACTTTTCGATGACCTTGTATATATACTTAATTCCTACCTAATTTAACCTTTCTTTTATCTCACTCCTTTTCGTCGCCTACCTTTGCTTTTACACTTTCTTCTCTATTGTCTTTATATTTACTCTTTTTCGCCGCCCTTACCTTTCTCTTATTCTCCTGTTTTTTTCTACTCATTCCTTTCTAAATACTTTCCCTTACGAAAAAGAATTACTGACAGTAATATATTGCGGCAGTGGTACGAAAGAATTACTGGCATTCTGTGTAATTGCCAGTAATATTCTCAGTGATTCTTGTAATACCTAATAATATTCTTGTGTGACTATCAGTAATATTTATATTACTGACTTTATTTATATGTAATCGGCAATAGTTCTTTTTCGTAAGAGTTCTAATCTATTCTACACTTTCCGCGCTTCTCTCACACATGCACACTACTCTCACGCTACTAAGTCTTCTTATGTTTCAATTTTTGCAATATTTTAAAATTATATATATATACAGGGATATTATGTATATATACAGGGTGTCCCAGAATTGCCGTACAATCTCTCGTAGGCAGATAGAAGAAGTAAAACTGAGTCAAAAAGTCCTGAACCATTTTTTCTATTACTTATAGTAAAGGAGTAATTATTGAGTAAATCAGGCCAGGCACGCGGCTCACTGACGTGCGCCTGGCTAAAGGTCGCTGATTGGCCCGATTTACTCAATAATTACTCCTTTATTATAAGTAACAGAAAAAAATGGTTCAGGACTTTTCGACTCAGTTTTACTCTTTCTATTTGCCTACAAGAAATTTTACGGTAATTCTGGGACACCCTGTATATATATATATATATAATTTTAAAATATTGCAAAAATTAAAACATAAGAAGACTTAGTAGCGTGAGAGTAGTGTGCATGTGTGAGAGAAGCGCGGAAAGTGTAGAATAGATTAGAAAGTATTTAGAAAGAAGCGAGTAGAAAAAACAGGAGAATAAGAGAGAGGTAAAGGCGGCGAAAAAGAGTGAGTATAAAGACAATAGAGAAGCAAACGTAAAGGCGAAGGTAGGCGACGAAAAGGAGTGAAATAAAAGAGAAGTTAGGTTAGGTAGGAATTAGACGGGAAGAAGAGATAAGAGCTTTAGAAGCGAGGTGAGCGGCGTCTTGCGAGAATAGAAATAGAATACTAGATAGATTAGTGGTAGGACAGAATAAGATAAGTAGGTAAGGTTGGGATCAGCAAGATACAGGTAGCAATGGAAGAAGAGAAAGAATTAAAAAGTGTAGATAAGACGATTGAAAGTGAAGAAGAGGAAAGGAAGAGAGAAATTAAGGAAGGAGAAGTATTTTTTACGCCGAAATGAGAAAAGAAAGGAAGAAGAAGGAAGGAAATGGAAGAAAGGAAAAGAAGAGAAAGGTCAAGTTTGCTGAGTATAATAGAATTTATGAACAAAAAAGGAGATATAGAATGTGAAGTAAGCACAATAAAAAGAAAGAGAAATGAAAAAGAAAAGGAGATAGGACCGGAATTGAATATACTGTTGCGCTCGCGGTGGCGGTTCCGCTCCGTCACCGCTTTCTGCGATTCGCGCACACGTCCGCGAGAATGAGAGAGACGCGACTTCTTAATAAAAGCACTTTATTACAGCCTTTAACAATAATAAAATACAAGATCGTACGCGCANAACGCAACGTGACAGCAACACGGCCGCGGTTCAACTCTAACAACNCTTTCGGTCGCCCGGCAACAAACAGTCGCGCCGAGCGCACGCCGTTCACACGGCTCCCGTGACACACACAAGGTGTCCGCCGCGCAACAATACTAAAAAGAAGCAATAAGATAAGGAGTTTGTCAGCGGAAAAGAAGCAGGAAGAAGAGGAGAAAAGCAGGAACAGGATGAATGATAAAAAAGAAGAGGGAGCTCTGGTCACATTATTGAAAGAAATA